ATACTTCCATGACACTCTTGTCTGTCGGCTACAACTGCCAAGAATTAACGCGATTGGCAAAGCGTAGTGACAGCGGCCAATAGAGAGCAGGATCCTTGCCATAATGCAGTTTGCGCGCCAATTTTCGTACGTGCGTTAATCAAGCTGAATAGTTTAGCCGAATATTCGGCTATTCGGCCACGCTCCTGGCCGAATATTCGGCTATTCGGCCACGCTCCTGGCCGAATATTCGGTATTCGGCCTGAGGCCGAATATACTATTCGTTACAACACTAATAATTGTGCAAATAGAAAAAATACAGTTATAACTGTGTATATACATGGATAATGCAGCTAACCCAAAAATCTACCTTTTATACTATGTATACTATACTATGTTGAAAGATATAAAGGAGATTCGACAGTCAGATTTCCAAGTGGTTAAGGTGGCAGCCCACTACTCTGGGGGTTCCAGGATTGAATCCAGATGGGTCAAAAATCTTCAAGAAATTTTACGGTGGTCTGTCTGGATAGGTCAGGTCTCATCCCTCATAACTTGGCAGCCCATTATGTCTTGGCTAAATCCATAATGGGCTTACTAAAAAAAGCCCATCAATCAGGAGCGGATCTACATAGGGACTAATAGGGCTTAAGCCCTGGGTCCCAAGGGTCAAGGGCCCACAAAATTTGAACTATTATCATAAATTTTTAATACTTTTTCATTAACAATGAGCACTTATCGTATAGTAAAAAATAGTTAATATTAATAATATAATAATAACGATAATTTATAGTATTATTTGTATTCAGTACCATAACTAGCCATTCCTGTGTCTTGTGCAAGAATTTGCATTTAGGCCCCTTAATTAATTAGGTTTGGGAAAATAATAAAACAAATACTGTACATACATTTTGGGCCCCCTTCCAAGTGGACCCTGTGCGGGTGAACCTGTTGCACCTGCCTAGTTACGGCCCTGTTTGTATTAACAAAAAATGGGGCCCCATTGGACTTCAATAAACCCCAGGCCCCGAAAAACCTAGATTCGCCCCTGCATGTAATAATATTTTTGTAAGTTTGCTGACTATTATATAGTGTGATATATACACAGATTGCAACTTATCCTTGAATAGGCAACTAAAAGCTGAGGGCACGTTGGTATGAATGGAAATTTAAACAGTTACTGTCCCAACTACAAACCCATAAACTTTTTATCAGTAATGAAGAAGAAACGTTGATATGTATTTAGGTAAAAGGGAAAAATAATTTGTAATTAATTTACTTTCTCAAAGTTTTTTACAAGCTATTCCTACAAACCTATCCAAACGTATGCGTTCTTAACCTAACTTAACAATGATATTTGTTTAGAACAGTGATAAGCTATAGTATTTTAACTATATATATATATATATAGGAACGGGTATTTTATATAGTGTATAAAATACCCTAAAAATGCGGCTGCGGCTCTCACATATTTCTTTTAAACGACACATGTCTCCTGTCGTGATAAGGTGTTACATAAGATGGAAACATGCCTCGAAGCAAGTGACAAAGTAAAGCAAACCACGGTCAATATATCAATTATGTTAAAGAAAATATTGATAAAATTGCAAAATAACGGAGCACAACGAAAAACCTCTGAGAGTGAAGAGTCAAACTAATAGACAGATGGCATGTAATATTCCTGATATAGGCTAACTAAAGCAGTAAAGAAAAAATATTATTAATCGTCTAGACATTACAATACCAGAAGACACAAGATTGAATGATAAAAAAATATAAATTATGACAAATATAAGGATTTACAAATCGAAATGGAATGATTGTGACAAAAGAAAGTATCGTGGATAACAATAGTGAGAGGTATTTTCGAATATAAGCAAGATTAATTAAAATGCTTAGAATATCTGGGAACCTTTGCACGTTATATAAATTGACAGAATCACAATCTACCAAATTCAAAACGTGGCACTTATTAGAACAGCTGGTGCATTACATCGACATCTTTATCTATTTCAGACTCTTGGGAAAAGCATCAATATTAATAACATGATGGACTGTGTTTGTTGAATAATAATAAAGAAAATTTAAAGACATGATACAATTTAAAATTTATATATAAATTATTCTAGAGCTCAGTCAATAAATGTGATTACATAGTAACTAATTCATGAAATGAAAAAGTGTTCAGCTTGCTATTTTTTACGTAAATCGTCGTTAACTCTTCTGCAGATATTTTTTACTCTGCATTAAATTTTAGAACGAAAACAGTGAAAGTATAACAAAAGAAGCCATTATGTTTTCATTAAAATTGTATGTCTAAAGGTCTTTTTTAAATATTTTAAANCATTCTACATTGAGTTAGATATTTATAAGAAAATAAATATATTTTTTGTTTTAATGGTAAATACACAGTGTTATGCTATTTATACAAACCTAACTTATTTATATGAACATAAATAGCCTTCTTAGTGCCCTGTGGGCTCAAAGAAGGCATTTGTTTCCATACCCTACAATAGGGCAGCCAGTGTGGTGAAGGATGGGCTCATGAAAAATTCCTGGGTTTTTCATAAGCCCATCCTGTTAAGGCATTAGACTACTGTTATAGGATTCCCAGGAACCCTAGAACAGTAGTCTAATGCCTTAACACTCCTGATCAGTTAGTGTGTTTTAAAAACCTAGAAACTTGAATTTTTTTCAATAATTTTTTAAATATTTTGTTTTTCTTATAGTAAAGGAACTGGTTATTAATTTTAATAATCTACAGCTAAACTTATTTCTATTTACCATTAGTTCAGAGGCTTACTAAAAAATGGCATATTCTACAAAACTACAAAAAATGAGTTATTAACAAATTTGGACTTGTGCATAGAATGTTTCTTAGAAGACGGATTGATAATCCATCTTCTAAGAAACATTCATGGTTCATTTGCATTGAGTTGTACACATGCATCAATCAAATGTTGCATATTAAAGGATTTATGTTTCAATTCACCAATACTTTTTCTAGAAAATGTGGAATAGTCCTTTTTTCCACCAAGTCCCTCAATTGTGTATAATATATTTCTCAAAAATGAAATAATTATGGGTGTGCAATATTCAGCTGTTTGTATTTCAAATTATTTTGATTTTATATTTTAGGGAGCATTTGACATCTTTGAATAAGGATAAAAGTTTAGACATTGATGTTAGAGATCCAATCTCAGAATATTTTTTCAAAGATGTGTGGATGAAAACAGCTGGTGTTAATACGTCAATTTTTGAAAAAGTAAGTGATTACAATGTAATTAAATATTTTATGCCAAACATTTTTGATATTTTACAATGAATATTTTAGGTTTTCCGGTGTATACCAGCTGACGAAATTCACACTTACTCTCATCTACGTCACTACGTATCTCAATCTGGACTTTGTGAAACAGATCCAGATTCCGCAAAAGAACTGTTGGATAAAGTCAAAGGCTATTTAGTACTTTTTCCTTTATACTTTCTATGTTCGGAGAACCTCACTCCAGCTCCCGGAACTAAAGAGGCTCTTATGCCTGTCTCGTTGTGGACGTGAAACGTCAATTTTATATAATATTGAGATTATGTAATAATTATAGATTGCTTTCTCGGGCTTGATAAAAAGTTAGTTTTATGATAGATGCACTATATACAATTCTTAAACTGAGAATTAATTTACATTCTTTAATCAGAATCAAATATATTTTTGATAAAACTTATTTAAAAATGACCTATTCTAATATATCAGGAAAAAATAATTATTATTGAAAATCATGAAAATAATGCATAATCTACAGTAAAATTATATAGTTGTAGATATATTTATTCATTTTATTGGTTTTCAATGAAAGACTTGTTGTTTTTGCAGTTTTCTGGTGCAAGGACCAAAACACATTGAAAATTTGGTTAATCTAAACCAGTATCTCCTTAACTTGCAAATGCTCATATTTCATCGTCTATCTTCAGGACATTGAAATTACTGTGAATTGTGTTATACATAATGAAAAATTCAAATTCATTGATGTAATTATTTATTACATCAAGTAAATGAAATTTTCCTTTTTTAATAATTTTTTTCATATTTACAGGATCATTTGTACATTGGTTGATTCACCATTTTTGGAAGTACTGTTGTAGATCATCGATATCATTGATATATTTTTATTCTTTATATAAAAAAATTAAATTGCATTGAGAAATTTAATATTTATGTTTATTCATAAATAGAATTTTTAAAATATGTAAATATAGAATGTAAAATCGTACATTGTTTAGTGAAAGCCTACTGTATCAATATAATCTGGCTATTTCTTGGGAAGAGGGATACAGGATTACTGAGTGTTTATTAGACCTATGAATGATGGATCTGTTGCCCTTCGGCACTAATTATTTTCAGAGATCGATGAGCAAGCAATAAAGAATACCAAAATGTGATACTGCATGCAGAAATGAAACCAAAATAAACAAGAAACAAGGTGTGACTGACATCACACTGGGGTATGAAAGATCATTGAAGACCAGATAGTGAGAGTATTCTGTATTTTTGCAATACTGTACTTAAGTATGTTTATAATAATTTTTTTTTTATAAATCAAATTTTGTTATCCATTTTAGAGCCATAAATTTAAACTTTTATTAAATACATTAAGTATATTAGATAACTTAAAAAAGCTGTTTAAGCATATTTATAAAATACCGTATTTACTCACATATAAGAAGAGGTGTGACTTTAAAGATCAAAATAGAGAAAATTAGATTAAACTAAATAAAATCAGAATTATATTAATAAATCACAAATGCATGTAAATGCACACATTGCCCTGCAAAAATTACTGGCATTTTAAACTTTAAGGAAAAATCCTGTAAAATCGACAACATAATTTGTTCATGTAAAGTTGGACAATCGGGAATTTTTTTTACCAATTCTTAACAGTCAAATCCACTCTGTTTCTCTAAATAGTCATCTGTTTTCATGTGGGAATGGATTAAAACTTGTATCAGGTTCCTGTATTATTTTGGAATTTCAATTTGGATCAATTCAAAAGCTTTGCTTTTCCTATTGCTATTCATGTTTACTCCTGACAATACACAAGAACGATTCAAATGACTCAGATAAAATGGTTTTATTTCTAAACAAGAGGGTGAGCATCCAGTAAAAAATGCAAATACACAGTTCACAAAAATTATTGCAAAGAATCCTTTGCCCACACATACAGGACGACCTAGGTTTTTGAAGCAGTGAAAAATGAATAAAAACCTCATCTTATATGCGAGTAAATATGGTATGTTTTAATCATAAAAAATAAGTAATTGAATTACAACTTCTTCCACTTATAAAAACAAATGAATATAAATAAAATTGGTTTATTCATAATATATTCTATATATGTTTTACGAGCTTAATTATGTAGTATTAAGAACTAGGTAATTAATGTAATATGTAATATTTTTCAACTTACTATAATTATGCTCACATATTAACAAGAAAGAATTCTGTACTTATTAATTACAAATGACATTCTTTTGTTGTAATTTGTCTTCCATTCAAAGTTTTTCAAGTAATAAAATGAAAATTATATTTTAAATGAAATATAATAGCAATAATGTATGTAATAAAATGCTTTTCAGTATTATAAAATATTATTTTGCAGATTTTTATAGGCTCAATATTCTGAATTAAAATTTAACGATAATAATTTTTAATAATTGGGCTGCAATTTAAAAAAAATTGTACACCTGTAACTTCCCACTGTCATCATCTATCTTCCGTCCTTCCTTTATCTTGAGAACAAAGTTAGATCAAAAATCGAGACCAGATAGGGAAAGCCTAGTAATCTAGTATTTTATGTTTGCTGGACAGACATCCAAGGCAGTTAAGATGTCAGTCTACTGTTATGGGAAATCTAAGAACAAATCAATGGTCAAAAAAAACTCCAGGAATTTTTCTTGGGTAGTCTTTCCATTGTGAACCTGGCTGAATCCACAATAAGTATGAAAAAAAACCTTCATGGATCCAGCATGGAGGTATAAAACTACAAAATTATATATAAGTAGTTTTATATTGGTTGCTATTATCTCATTATAATAAATGGATTCTATTGTATAATTTGGGATTCAGATTATTTATTCAACTATCAATATATTTCACAGGTCATCCTATACTGTTGTTTTCAATTTCTCAGCAAGAATTAGGTAGAGTAGTAATGTTATTTATATCATAAAATATGTTTGATTATTGTAAAACTTACATAACCACAATTAGCATAATTTGAAATGCAGGAAGAAGCAAAAGCCCCAAGTATGGCTTCTGGAAAGAAAGGAATACATTGAAACAAAAACAGATGATTGAACTTTTATCTATTGTCAGCTTCTTTATCTGCAATTATTACACATCATTATATTTAAGCACTGAAAAATAATGGGGAATAGGCATTCTCATCATCATGCACTGCTGTTGGTGCAAAAGTTTTGGAATTTTCTAGTTATATAGTATAAAGTTTATTCAAGAAAATAATTCCCGTACATTTGTGTACCTTCTTCCATTGATCAGATGGATCACACATTCCTGTTGAATAAAAGTTGTTTTAACTCAAAGAACTACTAGTGCATATATCTCCTTTCCATCCAAGAAGTGTAGCATGAAGTGGATTAGATAGTGTAATGTCTGGGATATATGGGGAGTGAGGGAGAACCCAGCTGAGATCAAGTTTCTGTTTGTGACAATGCAAGACCATACATGTTGGGACAATCCCAACATGTATGGTCTTGCATTGTCACAAAGGAAGTGTGCAATGTTCATCTATGGTCAGTGAATGGCAAGGAATGGGGTATGATATATCATAGATGGGTTCCAAGGAAAATTTTTGAGATATTTTTTGCCTGTCTGGATTTGATCCCAAGTCTGATTGGAGTGTAGATCACTGAATCCTTCCAAGGATGGCCAAGGCATTTATGTAGGCCAGAAAATATACAGCTTTTGTTATAAACTAATATATTTAGAATTATGAAATTTCCTAAACATAGTGTGTTCAAATGATACTTTGAAGTATAAATCTGTGAATATATATATTCAATTAGTTATTTTCATATAATTATAATGGAATTTGATAAATCTATTGACACTTACAGATTATACAAATTTTTAAAAATTCTTGGAAATTACCTTTTTATAACACATTTGATTTATTTATGAGAGTACTTCAACTAATTTGCACTTAAGGCATCATCAGTAAATCAAAATAAAAAATATAACATGAAAAATAAACAAATGATGATGCTTTAAGACATTGATTAGGTAAAAGTACTCTCTTAAATAAGAGAGTACTTTTACCTAAGCAAAAACCACAAAAAGCAAAAGTACTCTCCTATTTAAGAGAGTACTTTTGCTTTTTGTGGTTTTTGCTTGGTGATGTGTATTTAAGCTAATTTCTTCAAAGTATATTTGTATGTAGTTATAGTAGTTTGATAACTGAACAATTATATAAGACTTAACACTTGCATTCTTTTACATTTGATCCTCATCAAAGATCTTTATTATCCATAAGTGGAGTTAAAAGTTGTCAGAACAATTAGTTTCCATTTATTCTACTAAAGTTTAAACTTTTTACTGAATGAATACAATCTATTAATGTATAAGAATTTAATTTGCTAGAAGTTGATATAGCCTATATAATATTGAATAGGAACACAATACAATTTGTATTTTGGAGCAAATCTTTGTAGGGCATAAATAATGAATACTGTTTGCATTATGTTGAGGAAAAATAATAGTAATTATTAATAATCTAAAAACAAGTCTAGTAGATAAATACTGCTTAATTCTGATAAACCACCAAATTATAGTGTTGAAAATATATAAATCCATGTCTAAAAATGATTTGAATATTGTCAATGCTTTCTGTTAATTTTATCTATCCAGATAAAGTAACTCAGTTTTCTTGCATATGTATTCCCAATGATAATACAAACAATTTTAGTAATTTGTAAAAATCTGATAATAGGTGGTGCTATACATAGTGCAAACAACACCCCTTTTTAGTTGTACTGTCTACATAAAATCTTGTAACTCAATTTTTTGCCCACTTCCCAATCATTGAAATTCTTTTAGTATTTCAGTGTTTAGTATATGAAAATAAAAAAAAGTTATTTCTTTAAAACTTTTTTATTGACTGGATATTTGTCTTAAGACAAATATTCAAGCTTAATCTTGTTAAGCATTTGTTTTTGTAATTATTATTTAAATAAGAGAGTTACTTTAGATACACTGGGCTTATTAAGTTTATCTTGAGTGAGGTGTAAGTATACATTATTCTGTGACAATTTATAATATTGTATAGAGTTAAAGAGGACTTTTCAGTTATTTTAAATGAACTCAATTTTTTATACCTAAAATATTTCTGAATTCTGGTCATAATTTTGTTAATCTGATTATACAATTCTAGAACTAAGATTGATGATGATCACTGTATAATCTAAAACTTAAATAGATCACCTTTAATATAGCTGTATAATGATGGATAATTAGAATCCATTTTCTTTGTTAGTATGCTCAAATTCTACATTTTATAATATCAATTTAAAAGAGTCTTCCCTTAGAAGTATTTTTGATTGTGTACAAATAATCATGATTAAACTAGAAGACGAGCTTCTGCTTAATCATGTATATAGTGCATAAGTTCTTAACTGAAGGCAGTCTATAATTAAGATGTTTACCTGGTCTGTTATTGAAATTATATTACACTTTAATGCACAAATTATATATTGGAGATTATTTAGGATAATCCTAAGCAAAATACTCTTAAAAAAATGGGGAGGAGGCAAATGTCTTTTACAAGACACACTTAATATTTTATGTTGTAACTGGAATGTTTGTTAATTGTTGTTATATTGTGATAAAATGAATATACAGTTTTATAACAGTATAAATATTTTATTGTTGTTATTTTGTAACTTTGTAAATATTGGTTGCAACAATAAAATTGGAGTTTTCTAATTTAAGATGTAGGTATTCTTTTGTTCCCCTATTTCCAGTATGATAATCATGGATCGGTGTTCCTTCTTGTCACGCCGACAACTGATTCTACCCGATATGAAATCTCCTGAAAAATTTTTTAAAATTGTAATTAAATTGCATTTCCAAAGAAAAATTCAGTATTTGAAAGTATGAAATTTGATTAGGGTACAGTACCTTGCCAAATTATTAGACTCATGCTAAAAATTGATGATTTGTTAGTTTTTGATGTAAAAATGCAATTGTTGATAATAGAACTTAGTCATTCAAAAACTTAAAAATTTAAAGATAGAATTATTTAAAATATTAAACAGCCAGTTGTGCTTCTATATCAAAAAATATGTAGAGTATATTCCTTGTAATTTTTGTTCTCATAAATGGGGCTATGCTGCCACACCTTACTAAGAACCTCTCAGTAAGTTTTTGCTACAAAAAGGGAAGTGATAAAGTATTTTGGAATGTTATTATTCCTTAAACAATAGTACAAAAAGTATGATTTAGTCAGTGGATCTAATAATTTGGCAAGATACTGTATATCAGAGCTACTGCTTCAAATTGCTCATACTGTGAATGCTGTAGTTTAGATTATGTGGAAGGAAGAAAACAATTTCAAATTCTACTTTTTTCTGATTATATAATAAAGCAATAGATTTAGACTCATTTACTTTGTGCTCCATTATCGATGCAACATGAACACAATTGCTATGCTATGCAATGCAATTTACATTCCTTAGCTCATGTAAATAAAGGTGGTAAGTAAATTTTAAACCATTTGCAGTGTGTCATTACTAGAATTAAAAGGTTTTCTTTTTGGGAATTAAAAAAACTGGGAAAGGTTTGCTAAAAAAAATAATAATCCAAATTGTTACTCATTTTAAAATTGCATAGATAAAAATAATGCTATTACAGCAAATAGAGAACATTTAACCTGTGCAAACCTGTGTATCTTGGATAACAAACTAGTTTATTGATGTACATACTTTGTAAGATAGCAAGGGATTTATTTATTTATAGTTATACTTAGTTACGTTATTTATTTTTTCTTTTGGGATTGAGTTCTGTTATACTTCCCAACTGATGTTTGAGTAATGAATGGAATTGCATTCCACTAATATAATTAAGGTTTAAATAAGATTAAAATATAATATTTTTGTAACCAGTTAGCAGCAACACAAGCTTACATTGACAATGTTCAAGAAATATTTTTTTGTATGTAAGACCATTTAATATGCAATTAACTGATTGTACATAGCTGTTGAATTGTAAGTGATTAAATTAAGGGTTTTCTGCTAGGTTCTTTCCCTAATCAACTTATATTTATTCAAATTTCAAATAATTTTGTAAATACTGAATTTGAGATTTATAATAATAATAATTATTAGTGTAAAATTGAACTATTGAAATTATAATTTTTGTTTTGTATTCAATAAGTCCAGTACTGACATTTATAATTTATTAAAGTTCTTTTGACATTTTATGAACTCTTGCACCAGAGTCATGCTTAAACCTTGCAAAAGTGTACATAGACTGAACAACTAAAGGAAAAATGGAGAAATGTATGCAAATTACATTCATGCAAACTTTGAAAATAAATAATAGAATTTGTTAGCAAAACTTCTAAATTATTTCTAAAACTTTCCAAAAATAAAATCCATCAAAATTTAACTCTGTTTTATTATATTATGTTCATTTTCAATTCAAAAACAAACTTAATTGATTTATGAAATTAAGCAATTGCATATACATGTTGCTAATGGACCAAAAGGTATGATTTAGTCAGTGGGTCTAATAATTTGGCAAGATACTGTATATCAGATACTTTATGAAATCAGAATCTTTTTGAAAAAATTTTTTTCTATTCATTAGCATGAAAAAATTTTAAACATGCAAGTGCCACAGATGAGAACAGAAATGACACTCGTTTCAACCCATTCTAAAAATTGGATAAGATTTAAATCCACATTGCAACAAATTGATCACAGGGTAAAGAATTTTCCATCTGACTATAAAATACTATTCTAACATAACCTATGCAAATATGAAAACTGATATTATGTTCAGTAAAACTAATACAAATAGTGCTAATCTACAATGGAACATTATCCATATCTAGCTATTGCAGACATCAGAATAGTATCATGTGTCATCGATTCAGACTAGAATTGATTACACACAAATCTAAGCATATGACAACACCCATAAAAATTGGCACATCTGACCTGGACTTGAGAATTTGATCCATTAGGATATTAGGCTGATTCCAGAAGTGCAAAGCAAGTAAAGTTGGCTATCATTTAATATTACGAATTCTTACCTTTTTGAGCACTTATAGGTGAAGGCAATAAAAATATAGTTTGCTTCCAATGGGTTAGCTCAGAGAATGGAGAAGTAGAGAGTTGAAACTAAAAATAAGAAAACAAAAATTTGTATAAGAAATTTATGTAAAGAATAAAATTTATATATTCGAATGATGTTAATTAGAACCCAACAATTGATGACATGAGTGGATGAAAATGCTACAAAATCAAAGTTTTGAATGAATTGGCATTCAAGTTTTTATTATATAATTACTTTGGTGTAAATATATCCACGAAATAGTGTCATTTAATTTCTAGATCTTTGATAGTGGTATATGAGAGACAGATACATTACACTCTCATCTATGCAGGATAATTGATTTTTTAATTATTATAACAACACTCATGTTCAACTTATGTCTTCAATTATATTATGTTTTTTAAATAAAATTATAAGGCTTTATTGGAATGAATTGTTTACATATAGCAGGGATGGACAACCTTTCTCTATGTAAGGGCCACATTTCAAAACTATTTGAACTGACTCAGGCCACATACAACAGAAAAGAGGAAAAAAAATTTTGGTAAACCACAATTATTTATTCATAAATAATTATAAATTAGCATAGGTATACTTAATTTAGCTTCTGGAACTGATGTAAACGTAATATATCGGAAATATTTGGTTAAATATTGGTCACTGCTAGCTTTAAATTAGTTTCAATGTGTCTGTTAGCCAGTTTTTGTTTTAATTTTTACTAAATTCATTGTGGAAAAACTATTCACATACATAAGTTGTAGAAAATAACATTTCAATTTTTGTGCATACTTCCTTAAACTGGGAAACTGATTTATTTATTCATATTTTACATGGGCCGCAAAAAATATTACTGCAGGCCACGGGTTGCCCAACCCTGACATATAGGATAATTCAGAAACAATTTTCCAATTTTACATGAATACTTTGAGCAAAGTAATACTGGTGGGAAAGTCTAACCTATACTGGGTGATGGAGTAATTCTCAAAGTGAGTTTCAGACTTACCTAATGGAGGACTTGATTTATGCCCTTTTCATGTGTGACATACATCTAAACTCCAACTCCTCCCACACTTGCTGCAAGATATTCCTGGTGACAGAGGCAATTCCTGTACATATACATGTATGCTCCATCAAATTCAGTATATGTCCTTCATTTGCCAAAAAGCATGCCAGAGATGAAGACTTACATTCTTTCTGAATTGCCATGTACTTAAACCATTCTAATATAGCAAAATTTTCTCATAATTTTATTTTTGATTGAAATTGGGCATATGTTCACAGGGGTTTAATTTCTGTGGATACTTGGATGTGGGCAAAAAGTACTATCAATTATTAGGCAAACTGATAAGCAATGTCATCTGTACTATGTAACTGTGTATTGCAAAACAACATGTCTTTCTTTTAAAACTCTTTCCATCCTCTGTAGAAAAAAAAAACAGGCACTAAGAGGGCCTTTTTTAGCAAGCCCAAATGGTGCAGCCAGATAGTGAGGTATGAGACCCAACATGTTTGAATGAACCACTCACAAAAAATTCAGATAAAAATTTGAAAATAAAATTTTGTATGTAATCATCTAATGTTTTTCAAGTTACATGATAAAAGAAATTGAAAAGAAAATTACCTTATTTGTTAAGCGATCATCAAAATAACAATCAAAGTAACCTATAATTGCAGTAATTTGTCCGTCTTTCGTCAATGCCAAATTGAACTGTGTCGTAAAGTCACAATCTTCAACGCAACATGTAGACATATCAAATTCCTGCACAAAAGTAAGCATTGTAATTTTCAAAATTTTAAATTACGAAAATAAAATTTTAACAAACCTTAATAATGACAGGATTACTACAGATCTTCTCTTTTAAAACAGTAGTTATCAACACTTCCTTCATGACATTACCCTTAATGCATGACATTTTAAAGCCATAAACATTGTTCCAATAATTAATATATTTTTCATACATTTCTAAATTATAAAATAAAGTTATTTTAATTAAAATATCAATTAATTGTAATTTTATATTATATTATTCTTTCAAATAAAACTTATTTTAATTTAACAGCAATTGCTTGTTAACACTAAATAACTGCATTGTAATAATTATTAGTGTAAAATTGAACTATTGAAATTATAATTTTTGTTTTGTATTCAATAAGTCCAGTACTGACATTTATAATTTATTAAAGTTCTTTTGACATTTTATGAACTCTTGCACCAGAGTCATGCTTAAACCTTGCAAAAGTGTACATAGACTNTATATTATATTATTCTTTCAAATAAAACTTATTTTAATTTAACAGCAATTGCTTGTTAACACTAAATAACTGCATTGTTTCAGTCTACATTTTCTTATGTACAAGCAAAAACCTACATTTGTCTTTTATTTTTTCATCCTTCTTTAGAATCATGAAGTATTTTCCTACTATTTTGCAAGATTGCTTTAACATATATATTAAAAGAATACATTTCAGAGTTTATTTTTCATAAAAATAAATTAGCAACTTGTCACATATGCCTATTTTCAAAACACTGAATTATTTTAGTATCTTTAGGAGATAAGGAGTTGTCCATTAATTATGTGAACAGTTTAAAGGCAAGAAGGGGTTGTGAAAAGTACATTGTTGTATACAATGGAAAAGGGGAGAAGCAAGGCACTGTTTACATGGACATTTTTAGTGGAATTAGCAGCATATGAATTTGTTTTTATAAGTCTACTTACCAGTCATGTGAAACTATCAGTTAAAAAATATTTACATTAGTTTTTAAAAGCACTTCTTCAATGTCAAGGGGTCCATGAATTGTTATATTTAAAGGGGTGGGAGTTGTCAACAGTACATCATTGTATACAAAACTATACATATAACAATTAAAACAGCAAAGCCATTTTTGGGACAAGACTATGTCTCAGAAAGCGCGACAAACACATGCGCAAATCTCACACTTGCACCTGTTTGTAGAAACAGTCTCAGCATTTCAAATTTTCTTTTGACCTAGTTCTTGGTCCCCTGACTACCTACATGTCTGGTTTATTTTATGTGCGAATGATTTGGGCACCAAATAATCTGTGCCAAATTGCAACTCCTGACATGTACTCCTTCATACCTCTAAGGTGTGCAGCCATTGACAAGCAGCACGATTTTAGAGACAAGACATAGTCTTGACAATAAATGGATAATCCCTAATGTTTCTTTGAACATTTATAGAATTTGGAATGTTATATTCTCTCAATGATACAACTAAATTTATTACTTTAATTTAACTTATAAAATTGCATTTATCTTACACCTCTAAAAATATAATTTTGACAAAACAGAATAATTAAATTTATACTAAATAAAATTTAGACTTATCCAAGTTATCTCAAATTTTTCAAATCACAATAATCTTAAAATAATTTATGTAGTGATTGTTTGCAATTCTCAATGAACAGTCACTGAAAACATCATATTATTCAAACAATATGGCAGAAAAGAGAATGAGATGTAGCATAATTGAATTAGAAATATTTATACAAAATGTAAGAAAAAAAACCCAAATTATATGATAAAACTAATGAAAAATTATTAAGATTCAGTAATGAAGTATTGAATGTGAAAAGATATCAGTATTAAATGTGGGATGAATGGTAAGCCTGATAATAAAAATAAAAATTAATTAGTGATATAAAGATGACACTGTACATTTTTTATTCAGTCATATAATGTATCACTGTTTAGGAAAAGAAAACAAAAAAGAGTTGACTGAATTGTGTTTTGCAGCTGTAAATGTTTGAGCTTAAAATATGTAGTATCTTCCTGTCTTTTTGATGAACATTACTCAACTAACACAAAATATTCTAGTTTTTAGATAATTTAATCTTTAATTAAACTTATTAAGAATAAATACAAATTACAAAGTAGAAAAAGAGAATTTTCTATAACTCACCATTATCAATAATTGCAGCTAAAGAAATAGTGCACCTGTTTGGAAACATATACCCGCCCGGAGAGAGATAATGGTCTCTCGCAAATATCACAGATTCAATCATGTTCTCAAATAATAAGAAATAACCCATCCACTCTGATACAATTATATCTACTTTTTCAAAAGGTAAAGTCAATTCTTCGAGTCGACCTTTTTGAAGTAGCACAATTTCATCTAATTTATTTTCCCTGAAATAAAAATTCTTCTTAAGAATATAAATGTGTTAAATATTTCACTCTCAAATTATAGATACTTACTTAACTATATCCATGGCACAATATATTATCTCAGATTCATCAACTCCAATGACTTTCTTGGCTCCAGCAGATGCACAGAACATAGAAAGTATTGCAGTTCCACAACCAACATCTAATACTATTTTATTTTCAAACATGTCTTTGTTCAAGAAAATGGCATTTCTGTAAGTTTCTGTTCTTGATGTATCCTAGAAAAAAAAGAAATAAAAACTTTTTTGTTTGTGTAAATTATAAAATATTACAAATCTATGTTAAATGAATACCTAAAGATCACCTGTAACATTTCTTGATGAATACTGTAATGTGCATAAGAAGAGAAGTAACCATCATCGTCGTAATATTTTTTTATTGCATCTCCCGAATCAGATGATAACATGAAGACTTGCGCTTTCTGCCTAAAGAAACTCAATTTAATTCTAAATATTGATTAAAAATGTATAATTTATTAAAATTACCTCATTTTTTCAATATCTGCTGTAGCCTCTTGTAATTGTTGCTGCAGTAATTCGACTTTTGCCAAACATTCTCTATATTTAAATTCAGATAGTGCAATTTCATTTTCATTTATATCACTTTGATCACGTGAAAGATAGTCCTCAATATCTGCAAAATTAGCCAGTATTTTGTTTGTTAAAATCAAAAATGTTCCCAAAATTTTTAATATTTTAAACTTACTAAAAATTTTGCACTCTAATAATAAAATGATCATTAGTTTCATTAACATGGTATGGTCTTGAATGCTATATTATATTTATTGAACATAGTGACAAAGAGACTGTTTAACATCATATTTGAGAATAATTTGTTAATAAAAAAGCCAAAAGCTTGATGTGAATCTAGGACTTGTCTTGACTTTCTTCAAGTCAAGACAAGTCCTAAGCTAAATACCAAAAATAATACACAAGAAATCACACAATATTCTTACAATATGGTTAATGAACTATTGAGATAGTTAGCAATGATTACATTTAACACAAAATGGTAGCTTAGCCACTTACCGATAGTCTAAAGCAGCCATTCTAAACATGACCAAGGGGTTCTGAGGGCCATGAAAGAATGAAGTGGGATCATGGAATGAAAAACGATAATTGAAAAGGAGAGCCACAGACAATTAAAAGAGAGATGCATGCACAATTCACCTTTTCAATAGGCAATAATGACAATATTAGATTTTAATGGTTATACTACAGCCAAAGAATTTACATTACTCAAAACATTTTTATGTTATCTTTTATGACTGGTGTATGGATCTTTTTTGTATGACAACCTAAGAAAAATTCACTATTACCTGAAATTGAGGGCTTCAGTATACAAAAATCAAACATTTGAAGACAAGAGCATGCAAACCCTTCTCTACTTTTCTATACTACTCTTCAGTTCAGTCCTAGTCAATAGATTATACTGTGGTTGTGTGCATCAGTCCAATGTGTTTGGAAAAGAAATATCTGTATCAAGTTTATAAAGGGGTCATGGGATCACACTACATAGTGTCGAAATCACTACTTAGCAATGTTTTTACTAAAGTGGCAATAAAAACCCTAGCCTGCTTATTTTGATTTTCAGCATAAAACTGAAATCACAAAGCATGCTTCAGGAAAACAGCAGAATATCTAGCTCCTGTGCAATGGGAGTTCCATGAATTACACACCTAATGATTTCATCACATCATGCAGCAAGTTTGGGATGGAAAGTAGGAAGTGACATTGAAAACCGAAGATAATTTTTGTACAATGCCACCCAGTGTTTCCAGATTGAAAATTTTTTATCAACTGACAGAAAATTTGGAGAATTTTTTGGAGTGACACTTTTGTTTTTTTTTCACTTTGATCTTTTTTTCAGTAAACTAAAACAAAAATTTTGATATGACGTGAAATACTCTTTAAACATTGTGATCAAATGTGTTATTCAGTATTATTCAAAAATGATTCCTATTTCTAAGTGACAGCTTAAAATGTTACTTTTGCTTTCTAGACTCCAAACCAATAAGGCTACCAGCAGCCATATTAATTAGTAAGTAAAACTGGTAAAATGATTGTAGATGTTTTTAAAATTTCCAAAGCGACCCATCATATTTAGTCTTTAATTTATGTTATTTTCAAACATGTATTTCATCCTTGGATTTTTAAATTTTTACCAGAAAATTTTTCATTGGTGCGAGATCCGCAATTTTTATGCAGATGTCAAAAAAACTTTGTAAACAACTCCAATAGAAAAAAACACTCTTGGTGAGAATTATATCGGAGGTCACCGTTTGTTTTCACAATTAGGTGGGAAAGTTGACACTTAGTTGATCAAAATGCACCATTAGTGTCAACAGAAGTCAATCACGTGACTCCTTTCCCACAAAGAATGTATAAAAGCTTGAGTCCCCGGAAGCTCAGTGCAACCAAAGGAAGTTATACTTACTAATGTGTGCATCTTGTCTCCATACACCGGACATAGCGACCAAAGGACATCGCCATACAACAGACAACAACTTTGAACTTCCATCGCCATTCTACAGTTCCTGTGCTGACTACGATTTTGACGGCCCATTCAACGAATGCATATTAGTCATATCCTCATAGAGGTATTCGTATTTTAGAGCCTTGTGAACTCTCTCTCAGAATAGTCATTATAGCTGTTACGAGCGGCCCTTTGTATAGTTAACTCATATTTAACCGCATTTAACCTATATATATATTGTTATCGCCTTATGTAGCCTAGCTTAATTATCCAATAAATGCTTTGCTATTTTGTTAAACCTGTCTCCTGTCTCTGAAAAGACACCTACCGACTTTCTCACCTCCCTCACCATTCGATAAAATGCCATCTGGAATGACAACGTGAGTGGTCTTTGCCGACTGTTGCCGAGTAAGTGATCAAGAGGGATTAACTGTTGGACCACGGTTTCTCACATTTATAAATCTCCTTATTCATTACTAATGCACTTGCTTTGTTGTTTGATTGGTCATCATCTTTAGTTTTCTGCTAGTTATAGCAGGTCTGGTGAGTCCTCTTTTTTTCATGCTACTCTATCCTGCACTCTTATCTTTAGCTCCTTATAACTACCCTCTTTTAAGTCATCCACCATTTTAATTCTCCTTCTCCCTCATTTCTTTCTGCCTGTAACCATTCCTTACATAACATCACTCCATAAATTTTCTCTCAAATCATCTGTCCCATCCAATTAGCTTTACACCTCTTTATTGTCTCTAAAAATCAGAATATATACAGTCGACTCCCTATAACACGGTAGATACGTTCCGTTCTTTATGAAATTGATGTTCTAAGAGTCCTTGAATACATGAGCCAATCACAGCCCTTAGGTGAGTATGCAGTTTAGGTGAGTTAGGTGAGTGCCCTATAACACTCTCTTAGGTGAGTATGCAGTTTACGGACTATGGCTGTTTGAAAGGTTTTCTTCTATAAAATTAATTGATTCTAGACTAATTCGACTCAACATTTCCAAAATACGCATAATTTTTTGGGAATAATCCATATAAACTATGCTATAAACAAAAAATTGTAGGATTACTTACCAAGTGTGCACCATTCGACGATGCCATTGCTTAAGCTTGTTTTCGTCATGGAGCTTGTCATCAAATGGTGCTCGCGTGCTTCCTGATAAATTATTTTGTTTTGCAAAAAATTCGCCGAACTTTGGAAACATCATTAATATAAATGTAATTTTTATGGATGTTAAATAATAAATGGTTTTTAGTAGATCAGCTGCTTGTTTAAACTCAATGGTTTGTACAATATCTGCTATTGGTCTATATTCAACCAATCCTGTCGCGACACGAGTCGGTGATGACATTTTACCAAATTATATAAGTTTTTTTAGCGTGTTTGTACGAATACTGTTGCAATTTTTTCGCTGTCATATAGGAATCCGAACTATATGAACCCATGTTATGGGGGGGGGTCGATTGTATTTACATTTGATAGATTTTTAGGGGTTTGTTTCATTTATAGAAATCACAACAATATGGTAACAGAAAAAATGAGGTGTGTCACAAAAGTTAAAAGAAGCTAAAAGGGCAGCTTGGCCAAAAAGGTTGAGAATAGGGTTTCTCATTTCCCCGGAAATTTGCCTCCAGCGGGATTACAGGAAAAATAATTTCTTTTCTCGGGATCCCGGGAAATTCCAGGATGAGATAGTAAAATAGAATTTTATATGAATAAAAAAGATCATACAGGAATATCATAAATTTGAATAATTTAATTTATTTTCTAGTAAGTAACTAAAAGTATAGGGCCAATCGCACTTATACGGACACGTTAAGCTCAATTAATTTATGTTCTCCTACATTATAAGACGAAAGTAAAATAAAGCGTTTCATTGGGAGTTTTAATGATTACGAAAAAATACTACAGTATTTTATTTCTAAAGATGAAATAAAAAATAAACTAAAGTGCAATGAGTGACATTTACTTTAGCAAGTCTCTGCTCTTCAATGATGCGCAAACACAACACCTGTACATAGATATTACATGAACTAACAAGTAGAGACTTGAAAAACATAGGTAATAATATGCAGCAAGAAACCTCAAAATTTCTCTCTTAGGTGAGTCTTCAAGATGCAACTTTTCGTATAATACATAAAAGAAAGAAAACCTGACATGGTAAATTATTATTGAAATGCGAGATTTCCCGGGAAAATAAAATTTCCCGTGATTTTTCTCGTAGGGAATAAATGGCGAGAATACCGGGAAAACGGGATCCCAGGAAAGAAACCCTAGTTGAGAACAACATGCCAAAAGTATCTTAATAATTAATTAGCCATATTGTAGCTTGATAAGAATCAGGCTGTATGTTTGATAATTAAAAATGATTGCATTTAGTTTATATTATATAGAAAACTACAATCGTCGGTACACAGTATCAAAAGAAATAATTACGCATAAAAAAAATAATGAAAAATACTTACCAAACATTAAAAGTGCATCATCTTCCATAAATGGTTTCATGTATTTATCATCATTCCACATTTCATTGGAGTGAATTATCTTCAATTCTGTAGGAGATGGTTTCTATTCCAATAATTAGAAAAAGATAACTTTATATAAGTCTTGTTTTATGCATAAAAATTTATGAAAATTGATCATAAATGTTAACAACAAAATTTAAAAACTGTTTTCAATATTTACTACAGCACATAAATTAATTCTTTGATCATTAGATTTAAAATCCCAACAATAGACTGCGTAATACAGTATATATTTAAGTGATTTTTTTTCTCATTAAGATATTATTAAGTTATCGTTCTTTATTATTAAGTTATTTCATTATCATTAAGACATGAGTATTAAAAACTCATATCTTAATGATAACACACATTTAAAAATTTTCCATTCTAAAGATGGAACAAAAATTTATGTTCGATCTCTAGAACCTGATGATGACATTTGAAGATTGAAAACATTAGTTTATCATTAAATGTTTGTTCTTTAGTGGAATAAGTTAGTTGTTAAAGCATCAATGCTCCTAATATAATGTCCTTACAAAATTCAGAAATTTTTAAGAAAGGGCACAGGAGTTATTAAGCTTTAAATAGGTGAACAAAATCAAGCCCTCCCGCACATACCCAAACACACAGAAAAAGCCCCAATATGTTTTACATTTCTTGATATTTCAAAGTCCCGAGTTCAAAAAAAGTAAAAATCTTAAGGGGATCTTTTTTGACTGATCATAATACTTTTGTTATATATAATATAACAGCTGGAAAAATAAAAGTGATCTAACTCTACTCATTATGATTATATATTTAATAATGTTAAAATTTTGAAATTGATTGTATATAAACAAGCTTTAGTAACTTAAAAACTTTCTGTATGCTTTTTCTAAATCTATAATTTGAAATAAAGCTTTCTTATCTTGATTATATCTTTGTTTTTTAATTTGTTTTATTTTATTCAGAATAAATAAACTGTGTTGATTCATATCAACATATTTCATCATTTTATGATATATTAAAATGTGAAAAATTTTGACAAATTTAAGTATTTATTGCATTAATTTCTACAAAAGCTAGTAACTATGGAATTTAATTTCATGTACAATGAGTGTAAGAAGTATTTGTACAGTGTACTGTACATATATGCAAAACTACATAACTTCTGTTTGCAAAGTAATATTGATATGGTCTATACTTTATAACAGAACATTTTGGGTTGCAATTTTTAAAATTTAACATTACACATTCCCAAGAAAATAAAAACAAACAAAAAGCTACTTTCACATATTCTGGGTGTTTGTCCAGATGGGTAAATATCATGTGAAGACACATTTGCTCCAGTTGCAAGGCCAGTTTTCATACCATACAGACACTTGTGGTTTGAAAACTCAGACCTCGTAATACTCTGCGACTCATCCAGTCACCATTCATTGCCCCGGTTTTACTAAAGCCAACCACTGCCATATGCCATCGGGCTACATAACAGCCAGTCCATCATGTATGGACTACTGTGAATTTTGTAATACTACTGTTAATTTTGACGCTTTTCATGTAATAACGGAATGTAAGGCGCTGACTGCACTCAGACAAAAGTGTTATGGTGAAGATTGTTTTTCGGTTCAAGTATATAAACGGTTGCTGCAGGACTGGGATAAATATTATTGTATTTATAGTTTTGTAACTAAGTTAAATGATTGACTATTTATTTGTTAAGATTAAGAAATTTTTCCTTTTCAGATGCTTACCACCAGGAGGTGTAAATTAACTATTTAAGTGAACGATTTAGTGTTTGAGAGTTGGCAGCGTTTATGGTTAGCGCTTTTGGGCGTATTTTAAATAATTGTTTACTCTTTTCCAGGTAATGGCTTACTTTTTTTCTTTTCTTTTATTTATTATATTTTGTTTATGCCTACCATTCGCTGCCAATTTTTCCATTTGTCTTATGTATTTTATTTATAAGAATATAAATGCTATTATTGTTTCGGATGATATTAACCTGGTGTTGTCTTGTAGTTTTTCTCTTCAGTCTAATTGTCACGCGTTATATTGTTGTATTAATTTGTCTTTTGTATTGTTATTTATTACAGTTTGTGATTTCAGTTATAAGAGCCCTTACATACAGCCTTTTCCCTTGTACTAAATAAATAAATAAATAATACATAACAGCCATAATAATAATAATAATAAATTACCAAACAATTTGACACACGAGGGATGCATTAGGCACCATCTCATATTAAATTTAATAATTATAATTTTAATGAAATAATTTGGATTAAACTGGATTTAGATTTATTGTATCAAGTTTTTGTAGTGTTGTTTGCCCTGGTTTTACCCATCTGGGCAAACATCCAGATTATACAAAAGTGGCCTTATGCATGCACATAAGGTGCTTGTACACATTAAAAACTATATTATTTATTGGTACAAAAGTAAGCCTGATTGACAACAAATGGCACTACTAAGTCTTTGGAAGGGTAAAAGCACTACAACATAATGTGTTATGTCATAAGGAGTGCCATTTATATGCAAGATGGATAACAAAGAAAAAAAGAATTTCAGAAGAGCAAGCATGGTACTCTAAGATTATTAATCTTATTTTTTCCATTCTTAATTAAGGATGTTAAAGACAGCAGGATTGCACTAAAACTTTATTTTGTTTCTTTTAACTTTGCTATTTCTTTATACAGTGGTAGCATATTGTGGTTATATTCTAGAATGATACGTCTTGTGTTTCTATGTTGATTATATCCTTTTTTATCTTTAGGGTCTAAATTGTTAGTGAAGTTTGGGATTGTACTGGCTAAATTCCTGATTAGGTTTTTGGGGTAACCGTGCAATGCGGCTATTCCTTCAAGGTGTCAAGTTCTTTGATTGTGTCAGAATAATTTATCCAGTGGGTAAAAGCAAGGGTTTCTCTAATGGGATCCCAACTGTTTTTTAACTCAAAAAATTCTTCTTATCTCGGGAAATCCTGCAAATTTCTTAAAAGTTCACCTTTTCCTTATTTTGTGTTAAGGTCGAGGAAATTTTGCAAATAAAAAGTATAATTAACTCAAACTGTCAGAATACATTTGTATTTATTAATTTTAAGCAAGCTTATTAGTTTTTAAAATTTTTACTTGTTATGGCATGTCACAGATTGTTATCAATATGTAGCCTATTTGTGTCAGGACTCAGAAAATTCTTTACTTGTCAGAACCTGTAATATGTTAAATAATTACACCAATACTGTCTTAATTTTTAATCATGCCCAGTAGCTTCAATAACTTTATTATGCCAGATTGTGCAAATTGGGCAAGGCTACAAATAAGTATGAAATATGCAAGTATGAAATTTTTCTTCATAAACCTGATTATTAAAGCCAAACAAACTGTCAAATTATCGGGTTGTAAGCTTGATGCTGCTATTAAGCAGCCAAGGTAGATAATTTTATTTAAAAAATGAAAATTACCTTGTAAGTTAGAAGTTTGATCTATGTTCACTTTTTTCTTTAAATTTTCAACTCAATTCAAAGGCAGTTTTTGTTGTTATAAGCAGTTTCCAACAAACTTTAATAAATTTTTTCTATTTGTGAAAATTTCTACATAATTCAAAAAGGTAATTTTTAATACATATTTTACACAGCATTATTATTATTTTGGAGGTTGCAGGATATATTAAATTACTTAAAAAATGAAAAATAATTATATCATTCAATTTCAAGATTTATTTTATACCTTAAAAATAATTAATTATGTCCCAAGATTTCTAGAATCCAGGGAAACAGATCACTTTTTTCTCAAAATCCAGGAAATGAGAAATACTAGTAAAAGCCCTTTTGGTTAAGGTCCTAAATGCTGCAATCTTATATATATATACACAAGGGTCATGGGAGCTTGCCAATATAAAAAAGGGTATATATGTTGGTTTATAGTAAACTTTTGTATGGACCCAGTTATTTTTGATGTTGAGTTGGCTTGGTCTAATTTCATAGAGATCATAGGGATTATTATTCATTTGTCATATGAATTTATTAATCTCCATAAAGCAAACATGGACACTAATAAAATTCATACGACTACATAATAATAATAATAATATCATCAACATATCTTTTGTATATGACTATCGCAAGCCCAAATTATCTTGTTTGGCCAGATATTTAATTACTGGCTAATTGGTTTGTGATGATCCAGTTCAGAGATAGCAAACCTTTTTGAGCCTGGGTACTTTATAGTAAGTACACTTATCTTTAAAAATGTTTATGCACGCCAGTTTTAGATTTCAAATAAGAATATTTAAATAAATGAAAAGAATATGCTTTATTTAGAGTAAATGTAAGGAATTTGATTGAAAAAAAGGATGATCAAGTAATAAGCCAAAAGAACGACTGAAAAAACAAGTGATAAATTGAAATTGTATGATGTGACATGCCACAGATTTGCCACTCCCTATTCCCTGGAATAGGGAGTGGCAAATCTGTAAGTGCTAGTTTGCGGCGGCTCTTTCAAATACAGTCAACCCCCAATAACACTGTTGATTATCCCGTTTTATATGAATTCCATGTTGTACGACTCACTTAGATTTTACAAACACATGAGCCGTTTACAGCCCGGCACACGTATTTGCAAAATCTAAGAGACTCGTACAACATGGAATTTTGTTTAGTGGCATCTGAAAACGATTGTAGTTAATGCGAAGCTATTATCCACAGATTATTATCGCCTTCTTCCTCTTTCACATCGTTCTGTCATTTATCGTAATTGTCCATTACCTTTTACATTTCTTCCTCTTCCACTTAAAACAATTATATCATCTTAATATACTTTATATAAACTACAGGGTTAGATTTAAAAGCTATTAATGAGATAGATAAAATGGTAATTACTGTATTTTATTAAAAAAACAAAAAAATCGGTAAAATCACTAAATCAAGAATATAAGTTAAAGAAAAATTGCAATATCTTACCATCTGCCGAACATAATTAACAAATTTGATGTAAGAAATAGCATCAGCTGCGTAGTTTAGCAAAAAAGAAGACAATTTAAAATCGTGAGACGACGAACAATGCAAAAATAATTCGGATGGAGAGACATTTTCGTCACAAAATAAACACAACGTGGTCATTTGCATAGTCTCTGCTTCTTCTTCCCACTCGGAATCACTATTATCAGAATCTAAATCGTCCATATTCTTACTTAATTGTCTATTTTAAGTATATAATTAATATAAATGAAAATTTTTTATAATTTATTACTCGGAATTTAAATTACTTTTTCCGCATCTTTCAATTTCACACCGGCGATTTGAAAACAGTACACGTGAGTTGCTGACCAGTTATCTAGAAAATACTTTTAAAAATTAGCCCAATATTCTTTTTTTCTTATAAATAAATAATAATAGATAAATTCTACTTTAGAGGTTTTCTGTTTTAAATTATTTTATGTAAAAAAAATTAAGAATTAATAATATAATAGTGCAAATATTATTGTGATTTAATATAGTAGCATTTTTCTTTTTATATATTTTTGTGTTATAGAATGGCGAGATCGGCGACCATTAATACTTTAATTAAAATGGATAAGTAAGTATAAAGTGGGACGGCGCGCCGTCCCAATTTACGCTTGATTCAAACTAACTAGAATCTGGATTTCCCATAGAAGTAAAATATCTTGTCACGAAACTTCCTGGTCAATTAAACGATTAAGGTTTGATGAGTTAAGTCTGTTAAGACAATGAAACGCAAGGGCGATCTTCCGAGGAAGATGCCGCTCGAGAGGACTTTCTATGGGAAACAGCCGTATTTAGGTGTTAAACACGTGAAGAAAACCGCCTCCAACCAAGTTCAGAAGTTTTATCCACTTGGCCCCATCCAATTTTACTACAATATATCCAAAGAAATAAATCATGTACAATTATGTTAAAGATTTGTAAGCTACGGCTATTCCAGGAATGAAAACATTAAGAGAGCGAATTACACGTACAGTGAATACGCCACTCCACAGATGTTAAAAAATGTACAGAAAGAGATTGAATATTGCTTTGATATTTTATATAGAAAAACCGGTACACATATTGTAGGAGAGAGGAAAAAAGAATGCGCGCCTTATGTTATTTTTTGTATTTCTCAGGTGTTTATTGTTTAAACAGAATACATTTTTGTCTGAATATATATCATTTATACATCTTTCTGCTTGGCTATGTTAGAAAGAAAAAACAAGTATGGTTTTGACAAGACATTAAAAAAAAAAAAGAAGAAGAAGGTTCCAATGCCTACTCTTACCCTGCGCTGGAGGTCAAGAGTACGCAACTTATTGCTTAAGAGTACGCACTAATAGCAATCACAAATGAAACCTCCTGTGTCTTCGTTGTGTTAATACTGCTTGTGCCACCACTGTGCACATTGTCCATATTGCACTCAGTCATCATCGAAAGATTCTTTGCAGTCAGGACAAACGCTTTCATCATTAGGCCTATAAACTTGCGAAGTGGAAGCTTGCTGGTCATTTTTCATAAATCCAAGTTTGTTTTCGCGCCCATTCTATTTTTACCTTTTTTTATATTTTTCGTTCTTCTTCTTTTCCTTCTGCTCTAAGATGTTACTGAAAGAATCTCTGACCAGAGTACTGTCTGGCACTGCTAAGAGTACTTTTACACTCCGAAACATAATTCCATAAACTTGCAGATAGAGTGCAACTCCAGGCATACACCGACATGAAAGCTACCCCAAACTTTAGCTTTGATCCCTATCTTTATCCCTTTGCACACTTTACCATCAGTAAAATGTGTGCACGGGAAACTCTTCAGTTAATGTTGTTAATTAACCCCAAGCACAAAAAAATGAAGAAGTTTAAGCCGGTCTTATACTCACCATGCTCGACTTACAAAACGCTATTGTCAACCTTCTAGACTTGCCAGATGGCCGACGTTCACGTTTCCGCGATGAGAACATCGGCCGCAACCTCTCTAATGTTTTACGATGACAAACCTATCAATATTAACTTATTATAATTAATTTGATTTACACATTTTTAAATTTAATATATTAAAATTAATAATTCAATATTGACATTGTTATATAATTCTATAATATATGCATGCTTTATTTATTATAAAAAGCATAAATCTATGAATTTAATTAAAGCATCTATGAATTTAATTAGTGAATTAAATAAGAATTAAATTTAAATAAATATTCAGTGTTATACGAGGTCTGTTCAAAAAATACGCTGACTGTTTGAATTGCGCGGCTCCAGTTGGTTACAGGGGAGCAGTTTCGTGTCGCTAGGTTTGTACAGATCGTCTGATAATAAAGTCGTTTCCCGATTACAGATATCTTCATTTGTTGATTAGCTACGCGGTTTTTAGTGAAGTGCGATTTTTTCGTTTGTCGGATTTTAGAATGAATGACTTGATGGAGCAACGACTTGCTGTTAAACAGGTGATGAATCATGGGTTTACGGTTATGACATTGAAATGAAGGTCCAATCGTCCCAGTGGGTGGGTGGAACGTCCCCCAGATCCAAAAAAAGGTCACAAAGTTCGATCCAATGTCAAGGTGATGCTGACAGTTTTCTTTGATGCTAAGGGTGTTGTTAACCACAAGTACCTCCCTCAAGGCTCCACAGTGAACCAGACTTACTACATTGAAGTTCTTGAAACGTCTGAGGGACGCCAATCCGTCGCAAAAGGCCAGAAATGTGGAGGAGTGGCGACTGGTTTCTCCATCACGACAATGCTCCAGCCCATACAGATCTCAGAACTCGTGAGTTTTTGGCCGCACACTCGATCACTGTTCTTCCCCACCCCATACTCACCTGACCGTGCTCCTTGTGACTTTTTCTTGTTCTCCAAACTCAGAACACGAACTCAAAAGAAAGATTTGAGACGATTCCCGAGATTAAGGCTAATGCGACAAAGACGCTGAAGGACATTACAAAAGAAGCGTACCAGGACTGTTTCAACAAGTGGAAACACCGTTGGGAAGGAGAGTACTTTGAAGGAGACCCAGGCATGTAACTTCTACATAAGGTACATTTTGTTTTATGACGTCAGTCCGCGTATAATTTGAACAGACCTCGTATGTAAACCTAATTATTATTATTATTCACTAATATAATAAGTAATTAACAACATACTTTTAACATTGATGCTCGCAGCCAGCAAATGAAAGAATTGCACTCATCCTTGCAATAATTTTCTCTTAACCTTAGCATAATATCTTTGCATCCCTCACTTCCATTTTCCACTTTAAGTTTATAAGTTTATAGGTCAACATTATTAAGTTCATGTTCTCTTATTCATCCACTAAGGGCTCCCCAAAAGTGGACAGCTGTCGGTACAAAGACTATTTTGGGGCCTCTCTTTATTAATAGATCCTGTTTATACAAATATCTACTTATACAATTGGCTGCAATTTTTTCCTCTGATGACCCCCTAAAGCTCATGGATATCAGGTGCAACTTCCTCTTGTAGGGCCTGCATTCTCTTACCTTAGCCACCTTTTCTCTCTCACACTGACCATTCACAATACTTGCGTATACTTTTATCATCCCACTATTGTTGCGAGAATGAACGAGAGATGACAAACAAAGAATACAAACACTAAGAGTGGTAACTTGAGAAGTTCAGACCTAAGAAAATTTGGCTATGTTTACACATTTCCATATACAACTACACGTACAAGTAAATAATAAATATTTAATCTGAATAAACTTTTATGATAATTATTTTCAGAATTGCTGGACATAAACTGAAATTTTCAAAATTTTAATGGTAAATAAAGAAAACAAACGAGTTACAAATAGATTACTTTGGACCAATTCATGAGGTTAAATGCTGTTTGGCATTTGTTTACACCTTTAGCATAGAGGAGAACTTAGTAAATCAATCTGTTCAATAATCTGCGTGGCATATACTTAATATATAATGATCGGAGCACTGAAAATGGTAAGACGTCATCTTGTTTGCTAATATTGCGTGACGATTTTATAGTTATGTAAGAATCTCACTTCTTTCTCTAACGTCGCCATTTGCTGTTCGAAAAGGAAATCCAGAAAACGCTTTTACATGTGATTTTTTTCTGTTGAAAATGGTACAGGAATCTGAAGAAGAAAAGGAGATTTATAGGAAGGGTTATTATGGTTTTCTAATGTGTATTATTGGTCCTATTACATTTTTCTACTTTCCATGGTTTATGGAATTCATCATTCAGCAGGTATCATTTTTAAAAAAAATTTATTAATGAAAAATCTCTTATAAATTAATACATTATTTCTTCGTTTGTCTGTATTTACAATTGAATAATATTTATTTAATGTATTTTTAAATGTGTTCTGCTGCTTTAAATTATTCTCCACATTATACCATGTCTAATTAATTAATTAAAAATCGAATATTTGGGGATCAGACCCATAAGCTCTCTATATCTGGTCTCGATTTCCATCTATCTAACTCTGTTTTCGAGATCAAAGAAGGACAGGCGATTATTAAATGAAAAATAAATTAATATTCATTTTTAATTAATTAAAATCGATCATCCAATTACATAATAAAATATTTAAAATTAAATAATTTTAAAAATATGCAATTGAGTAAACACTATGCAAATTTATCATCTTTATTATCGTCACCAGCATACAGTACATGCAGTCCTCAAGGCCGGTGGCCGAACTATCAGCGTTCAGTGGATAAAACCACTGAACGCTGATAGTTCGGTCGTGGGCTCGCGCCTGACCAACAAGTTAGCCACGTGTAGTTTTTCGTATTTTCTTCACGTTTTTGACACCTANAATTTGTTTTCTGATTGGCTCCCTCGTCTGTTTCTAAGCGAAAAACGATTCCTTTTCGAGTCACGAGAAAGATCCGCCTTGAAGAATCAGCATACAGTACATGCAGTCCTCAAGGCCGGTGGCCGAACTATCAGCGTTCAGTGGATAAAACCACTGAACGCTGATAGTTCGGTCGTGGGCTCGCGCCTGACCAACAAGTTAGCCACGTGTAGTTTTTCGTATTTTCTTCACGTTTTTGACACCTAAATACGTGCCGGTTTCTCATAAAAGTTCTTCTGGGAGGTAGGCTATTCCTCTCAATAGATCGCCCAGGTGTCGTGTTGCTGTAAACCAGTGTTTTTCAACCTGTGGGTGGAGACCCCCAGGGGGTCGCAAAGCCTTACACGGGGAGTTGCGGGTGAAAGAAAAAAACAGGTGTCTGTAGGTCCCACACTACAATAAAAATAGCTAGAATTTCAGTGAGAAGGCTGTGCCTGTTTATTTTACAGTACAATTGGTTTTTCGATCGATATTTAAAGAAAGAAAATTAAATACGTAGTTTTTAAAGTCACTGATAGAGTTTAAATATGGCCCTGGGGGTCGCCAGAATTTTTTAACTTGTAAAGGGGTCGCGTATTCAAGAAGGTTGAAAAATACTGCTGTAAACATGAACTAAACTTTACGTTTTGGATATGATACGTTTCTTAAAAACGTGTACGAAAACCAACCAATAGAGTTGGAAAAGGAGTTAAGTTGTCTAAGAGTTAAAAAAAAACAACATTATAAAATCTCATATTAGGGATTAGTTTGCTGTCGCAATACAACGCAACACAAGAGCGATCTGCAAACGGGGATACTTTCCGGGAGGCCTTTCTATGGAAAACTTAACTCCTAGTGTTAGACACGTGTAGAAAACTCCACGTGGTTAGTCCGTTGTTCCGGTGCGAACCCACGACCAAAATAACCAGTGTTCGATAGTTTTAATCACTAGGCCAGGCATGGCCAACATCCGGCCCGTCTAATGAATTTATGCGGCCCGCGATTAATCTTTCAATATCAGCTACTCAAGTCCGAATAGCTCGATGAAAAAATTCTGACGCCTAAAAAAAAAAAACTCACTGTGCGTTTAGAGTTAACGCTCCATTACAAATCTCTTAAGTACAGAGTAGAATGTTGATAATGCATGATAATGTGAAAAATGTATCTGTAATCTCTATGTACAATTTAGTCTCTACGGGGTGACACCACATTGAGATCTCGCACCACCTCAAAATCTTCTTAGGACAGCCTCTGGTTCGGTCCGTGAAAAAAGTTTTCTTTCCAATTCGGCCCGGGGCCAAAAACTATTGGCCACCGGTGCACTAGGCCATTGGTGGACCTCTAATTAAAAAAAAAGTTTTACTTTTACACTGAATATGATAAAATGCATAAAATATTATTTAAATACTATAAATTAAACAGAAATAAAACTACAGAATTTAATTTTTACAAATACTGTAATTCTGATGTTACCAAGTAAAAATTCCCAGCTTTGTCGGGCTCCGTTCTTCATCACTCGATTGCCCTAATTGTGGACCTAACCGAACTCACAATGGGTATCATTAAAAGGCCGTCTTACTGCCCACAAAGAGTACTAAAATAAAAAAATAAAAAAGTTTTAAAGAAATAATCTTGAGCTTAAATTATTATAATAATTATTATTACATTTAATATGATACAGTATCTCTTTACATTATGTCTTTTAGTTATACTTCGACATTCTATCAATGCATTTTTAAAAATTTTAGTAGAATATTGTGCTGAAAATTTTAAAAATCCACTTTCCACAATATTTATTCGATTTATTCCACTATAATTTGAAATTTTTCTATGACTTCAAGTCAAAAATTCAGGAGATCAAACTTGATTCTTTGAAATTAAAAATACTAAGATAAATTACTTGTTTTCCTAATTTTCCCGAAGGACAGGCCGAGAATATTTGTTATTATATAAGTATATTAGTATACATAATATAAACATATCCATATTATACTCATATATTTATATAAATACACGATACGAGTTTAATTAATAATGATATTCTACCTTTATATTATGCATACAAAGATTCAATACTGCACTAAAGAATCTTTTCGAAGTTTGCCGTGCAAGAGACTTAAAAATGAAATAATTTACGCTAATGCAAATCAAAACACGAAACATGAATCGAAAGGAAAAATAAAACTTTGATATGAGGTCGAATATGTAAATATAAATGTATGATATGATATATTGAATAGCAACACGCAAAATGGTCACGTTAAACAGTTTCAAGTAGCAAATAGGAATAGCTAATGCCTATTTATTATAATGTAAAATGGCATAATTTTGCGATTTTTTTCTTTAGTTTTATTCGTTATTATGTTAAATGTTATCGAATAAAATACTAGATTTAAGAGCTTATATTTTACAACATTATATAAAGATCTTTGTTATTCAATTTATTCCGAAGAATATAATTAATATATTTGGAAATTCTAATTTCTGTATAAGTATTTTGTATTATTGATTCTGTATTTAGTGTTGTGAGAATGAAAGTAATTTTGTGAGAATATATTTCGAAATTTGCTTGATCGATAAACATTTCGAAACTTCGATCAATATCATCTCTAGAACTGCAAGTTGTTCGGAGAGTTTTCGTTAACATCAATCAAAATTGTCATGATATAACTGTTATCTACTGTAATTAGCACCAATAGCAGCCGTCCATTACGTGTACAGCTTTTGAGCCAGTTTAGACTTCACCCACTCTATTTGTAAGTTCGCCGACTTCCGGGGGGGAATCGTTAATCCCGCGTCAGAACGATCTAGGGTCGAACGCGAGTGGGTGTGGTGGAGGAGACACAGATAACAAGAATCTCACAAAAACCCGTTTATTTTATACATAAAATTAAACTTACACCTAGGAACAAGAATTATCTAGATACAGTCAACTGTTTGGACGTCGTGGATGTTTATCTCTCGTCACTCGGAGATGGGCCCCGGGGCTGCGGCAGGTGAGGAGACTTGTCGGGAGGTGTCGTCGGCACGGCTCTTTCGATGGACACTTGTGCGGACTCTGCGTCTTCTGTGCGTCGACACACTCAGAGAGTTTTCGCTCCGGACCTTTTTGGAGTGCAAGTACTCAGTCGCACAGTTTACGGAAGAAGTCCCTCTGTCCTTGAAGATCGGGGATTTTATATCAATCTCCGTTCTCTAATTTGTTTTCTGATTGGCTCCCTCGTCTGTTTCTAAGCGAAAAACGATTCCTTTTCGAGTCACGAGAAAGATCCGCCTTGAAGAATCTACTTGACACCATCCGTTATTCTGGCTGCAAAATGTTGATGGAACTTTGAAACTTGCGCTCATATTTTCCACCATTGTTGTCTAGTCTGTGACGTTTTTGAAATTTAACGACACGACGCGATGTCCTTTTTCGTCATTAATCTTTCCTCTTTTCCAAATTTCTATGTTCTAATTATGTGCATATGAACGACTTTTCAAAGGTCCATCTCTACTGGAGGTCGTTTGTTTACAATTATTAATTAATTATTTAAAATTATTGCATTCTGTTTACATCAATAAAGTTTTTTTTTCTCTCGTCGCGGTTTCATATGACTAACACAACTAATTCGATCTTTGATCGGTTTTTAACAATAGACGATTTTTTTTAGTTTCTGTTTTAATAAATGTCTAATAATAAATATTTAATTTCAACTCATTTTTGGGGCTTCACATATTGTGTATTGTACAATGATGTACTTTTGGCAAATGTCTTCCCTTTAATAACGTATATGAATGTTTTTAAATCCTAAAGCTATTAGGGACCATCCATTAATTACGTGTACAGTTTTTGAGCCACTTTTGATCTCCTACCTCCTTGTTTTATATAACGATGTATTTTTGGTTAAATCGCCTCTCCTTTAAATACACGTACAACAGTTTGTGGACCCCTGACATTGAAAAATAATTTTAAAAATTCCGAAAATATTTTCTAACTGATAGTTTATTCGCATCACTTATAAACAGAAATATAAGATGTTATTTATATGTACTGTACAGTACATATAAATAGCATCTTATATAGTACATAAACTATTTTTCGATATAATCACCTTGTTGGTTCGGGCATCTATCTGATCGTACGCCCAGCATTTCCATTCCAAGTTGAAAAAATTTTGTCCTTGCAGTTGCAGCCATGTTTTTGTAGCTTTCTTCATGTCATAGTCACAACGGAATCGGGACCCAGATAAATGTTCTTTGAGGAGAAGAAACAGGTAAAATTCAGGTAAATTTCATTGATGATGTCTTCACAGTTCCCAATTGAATTTTTGGAGCAAATCCTGTATGTGAAGAGCAGTTTGAGGCCTGACATCATCATTATTGTCAATTTAACAATAATGTCAGGCCTCACATGCTAGTATAATGT